GGGGGGGCGGGCGTGTGCGCGTGCTCGTTTACTTTGTCCGTTACGTGATGGACGGAACAATGACAACGAACGGATGGATTGATGGCAATGGCATGGTGTCTACCCCTTTCTCTCTGTCATGTTGGTCAGTCCAGCCCCGGCCCGTCAAGCAAGCTACGAAGGTAGCCTTTGCACGCGTGAGCCAGGGAGAGGTCGTGCGTGTGCACATCACGATAAACCGGCAGGCAGGCCATCCAGCCATCCGGTGTTGAGTGTAAATATCACCCTTCCTTCTTTCTAGACAGACAGACACAGACACTTGCTGTGCTGTGGTGTGCGTGCGGTGCCTGTCTGCCTTTTTAACCTCTCTTGTCTGTCTTGGTGTGTGCGTACGTGTGTGTGATCTGATCAGCGGACAGACACTATCTCAGTGGACAGACACTATCTCTCTTCCTACCTGCTTCTCGCTCGCCTCAATGCACAATGGTGGTTTTGCAATGACTCACTGACTGGCTCACGTTTTACAATGAAACAACACACGGACACCCGGGTGACGGGTCGCTTGGCACCACGGCGTCCGCCGTCTGTGCGTTCCCTGGTGTGGACAAGGAACGGCACGGTCGGCGGTCGCGGTGAGGGGAGGTGAGCCGTCACCCGGCCGAGTTGGCGTGCTTGGCATGCAGCAGTTTCCTACCGGCCCACTGCTCGCTGCTCAGGACTCACTACTCGCTGCCTGATGCGTTGTCGGGTCCTTCAAGCGGATGGGTGTGCTGCGACCCTCAGCTGAGGGTCCTCGGTTCTCCATCAGCTCGAAGAGCCCCACCAAGCGGCATCCTGTGTTGATGCCGTGGTGCTGTGAGTGTGTGTGTGGACCGTGTGATACTATCACTCTGCTCATTCTGTCGTGTGAACGAATGTGTTGATCATGTCTTCTGAGAGATACGAGGCCGCCAGGCTGTCGGCAGCGCCGCGAACGGATGAATCAGTGCGCTCCGCAAAGGAGGCAAAAGACACCCTCTCTGTCACGCCGAGTGGATCGCGAGCTTGCAAGGGTCGGCCCGTTCGTTCGTTCGTCAGTTTTTTTCCTCGCGGCCTGTCTATTGTGCTCTGCAGGGTGACACCAGGGGATACGTAGATCTTCGCGCAAACGGCGGTCTCAGCAAACAGAGGCGGCGTGCTTCGAGGAGTGACTCAATTTTGGAGTGGCTGCGGCGTCGGAGGCGTGGAGGCTGACAGGTGAGGGCTGGGCTGACGGGTGGGCAGCGATGTGGGCAGGCTGAAATTGGCGACTCTTGCTCATTTGTTTGTGTCACCTGTTCTCTGTATGTGTGTGTGTTGTTCAAGTTTTGTGTGTCAGCATTGTGTCGGGCGGCAAGGGCAAGGGCAAGGGGGAGAAAGCTGCAGGCGCGTCGGCTTCGGTTTCTCGTGCTGACTATGATGTGAGACAAACAGTCAGACAGGAATACGCACACCACTGCACGCCCCGTGTCTGTCATGCCGCCGTGCGTGCGGAGGCCACGGGCAGTTCTCGCAGGTCGTCTCATTTCCTGCCTCTCCCTCTTGTGTGTGCTCAGACCGACTCCACTATGGGTGCTTTATCGACCCGGGCGCCGACCGGCTCAGGTGCAAGCGACGATCTCGACAACATGACCCATGTGGTGAGGACAACACCACACACGCACAGACGGCTGCCCCATGGAGAGACCATCCTCTGGTGTGGTGTGGTGTGTGATGTGTCAGGGTGCTGCGACCCAGGTGTCGGGCTCAGGTGGTGCCGCTGGCGGTGTGGGTGTGGGTGGCGATCATGGTCAGGGATTTCTTTTGCCGCTGCAGACCGTTTCGCCGCTGCCCGCAGCGAGGTGATGCCCCTCAACGGTATGCCGATGCACACACATTCACGGCACAACGCGAACCACTGCATGGGGATGCTATCCGTGTTTGCTGCGGCAGATCGCCTCGGCCGGAAGCGGCAGGCTCGCAAGGGTGCTGCTCGTGGCCGTGTGGGTGGCGACCCGCCTGACGACGAGGGCGGCTCGAGCGACGACCAGGGCAGCAGCGATGACGACAACGACGAGGACTACAACCCACCCGATGGTCAGCCACACACACACACACACACACACACAGAGGGAGAGAGAGAGAGAGCGCGTCGAGCACATCTCTGGTGTGCTTTCCTGTTGCAGACAATGATGATGACGACGAGGATGAGGACGATGAGCCCGAGAGCTCAGGTACGCAGACACACCCACATTCGCACACATGCCGATGGCGCGACCTACACCAGACTGCTTTGTGTGCTGTGTGTGTGTGTCAGGGAGTGGTGGTGACCATCTGAGCGACTCCACCTTCAAGCAGCCCAAGGCGGCCGGCAAGGCGGCCGGGCCGACAGCCCCCACCCACCAGTCGACCGTCCGAGGCGTGCGCTTCGACGACAAGCGCCAAACGTGGAGTGCCATGGTCAAGATGGACGGCAAGTGGAAACCCAAGAGCTTCTCCGTGAGCAAGCATGGGGGCTACGACGAGGCCAAGGCCGAGGCAGAGGCGTGTCGCCGGCAGAACGAGCAAGACAACGAGAAGGCTGGCCGTCCCATCATGAGCCGCAACAAGAACGAGATCACCGGTGTGTACCACGATGACGAGAACGGCTATTGGATCGCGTCATGGTACGAGAACGGCAAGCAGAAGCAGGAGTACTTCTCTGTGGCCAAGATGGGCGAGAAGCGCGCCAAGGAGACGGCCATCAAGCGGCGCAAGGACATGGAGAAGATCTGGCCGGATCAGCGCAAGGTACGCGAGTGCACGAAATGCGATGTGTGGCCCTTTTCGATAATGGTTTTCTGTGTGTCCCTTCCCTCTCTGCTCAGAGTGTCCCCAGTCTCGGCCGCGGTCGCTGGAAGCTCATCGACCAGCTGCTCGCCAAGAATGTCAAGGGCGTCTACTTCGACAAAGGCAACAAGGCATGGGGGGCGTACTGGGAGCAGGGCGGCAGGAAGCACTTGAAGACCTTCACCATCAGCACACACGGCGACATCGAGGAGGCCTACGACAAGGCCGTCGCGTGCCGCAAGGAGGCGGAAGCGAGCGGTGCGGCGAGCCTCCGGCAGCCAGTCGAGAAGCAGAGCGGCCACAGGGGTGTGAGGTGGTGCAAGAAGAGCAAGGCATGGGTGGCCAACTGGGTTGATGCGTCTGGAAAGCGACGGAGCCGCAACTTCTCTCTGTCTGAGTATGGGGGTGACAGTGAGGCCAAGGCAGAAGCGATTCACTGTCGGAAGACGATGGTGGCGCAGACTGAGAGAGAGAAGCAAGACAGGCTGGTATCGTCACGCAAGCGGCCCTCAGAGGCGCCAGAGGGCCGCAGAGTGCGACGGAAGACCAACAAGTAGCCGTCGGGACCTTTTGCTGCCCACCCACTCACTCACTCACTCGCTCTGCATTCGGGGGGTGGTGGGGTCGGCCGGTGGGTTCATAGCGGTACGATGTTCATGTGTGTGTGTGTGAGGGGCAAGTTTTTGTGTATTGGTCGGGGGCCAGTGGATTTGTATCGATCGTGATGTGATGCCGTGTGTGGTGTCCCCCGTGCTGCATTGCTGAGCATACACACAGGGAGGGAGGGAGGGAGGGAGGATTTGCTGTGATGTATTTCTTCCTTCGATCTGTGTCCATCGCATGCCTGGTGTGTCCCCGCCCAGCCGTCCAGCCGGTGTTTTTTCGCCCGGCCGCCCAGCCGGTGTTTTTGTCCCAGTGGGCTGTGCAGCGCTGGCGGAGTGAGACAGGCCGGTCAGGTGGGCATTGTCAGGTGCCGGCCGTCGTATGCCAATTCGATGGATGGATGGATGGATGTGTGGATGTGCACACGCCTGCCTGCCTATCGTCTGTTTGGCTGTCTGTCTGTCTGTCTGCTTGGCTCCATGGAGTTGGTGCGGCCCTCATTTCTCTGGTCGGTCGTGTGCCCTCACTGCTATCTTTTGTAGTCTGTGGTGTGTCTGCCTTGCTCTCTTATGTTTCGTCTCTCTGACTGACTGTGTGTCGTCTCACGGCATGTGTGGATGTGTGTATGCATACCGCAATGATGACGTCCATCCATCCATCCCTACACACACACACACACACACAGGCGGGAAGAGGAGGGAGAGAGCGAAGCAAGACAGGCAGATGTCACGCAAGCGGCGCTCCGGCGCTCGGATGCATTCGACGGCCGCCGAGTGCGGCGGAGGGTGGAATGGCCAGAAGGCATCTTAGTGCCCACTCACTCTCCCTGACTCAACGGCTGATGGATAGATGGCCGCACGGTTTGTGTGGGGGGGCAAGTGCTTGTGTGTCACTCGGGCCAGTGGATTTGTATTGCCAAGTGCTGCGTGTGTGATGTGTACGTACCGCGGTGCTGACATGGAAACGGAGGGAGCGCACCACCACACACAGAGATACGTATGTGTGTAGGTTTCGTCTCTCTCGCTGTCTGTCGGTCGGTCGGTCTGTCTGTGACCTGTGTGTGTCCCTTCCTGTGTGTGGTGATCGATCATGATGAGAGCGTATCCATAAAGCGGCTGATGTCTATGTGTAGGAGGGAGGACAGACAGAGAGAGGCGGATGTCGTTATTGTTGCAGCACAGACAAACACATCACGGGGGACTCACATGGCGCCGAACTTTCAACTCACTCGTGTCTGTCTTGTGCTGAATTGCGTATGCTGTTCGTGGGCTACTTGTCTGTCGGCTGACTGTCTTTCCTTCACAAGTCACCACACCTTACCCCACACCCCACATCACCGTGTTTCATTGCTGAGCATACATACAAACAGGGAGGGAGGGAGGAGCATGATGTGTTGTGTTTTTTCCTTCGATCTGTATGCATGTGACGCTGGCCGCCTGTGCACGTGCCTCTGACAGACGGACCCACCATGAGCAGCCCTTTTTTGATGCTGCTCGGCTTCCAGTCGGCTGTGCAGTGGTGGTGGTGAGCATGTACTTGTCTACCTGCGCGTGGCGTGCCAATATGATCACATACGTGCGTACGTACACGTTCATGGTGTGCCTTTCTGCTATCTGTGCGGCGTGCATGCGTACTGCTTGTCTGTCTGTCTGTTTGTCTGTCTGTCTGTCTGCCCGTCTGAACGTGGCGCAAAAGATGGAGAGAGCGACGCACCATTGTATTGTGTGCGCGTCTGTGTGGTGAGTGAGACCCACATGTGTGTCTTTTGCAGTCAGGGCGGGCTGTGGGGCTGTGGGAGGGTCCGTGCAGGTGTGTACGTACGTCCGTACTTTACATATGTCTGTCTGCTCTGCTCTGCACACGCGTCAGAGCGCTCCCTTCGTAGTCATTCATACGTCCTATGACACTCTCTCTCCTTGTCAGTAGGCTATAGAGATATGACGTCGAGGTGGTATGTCTGTTGAGAAGCCGATCACAGACATTGCATTATACACATGAGGGCAGCTTTCTGTGTGCGGTGGGCGGCACAGTTGGTTTGTGTCACGATGTGTGGTGCGGTGTGGCCATGGTGAACACAGAGAGACAGACAGCCATTGGCAGGGCGACTTTGTCTGACGGCCTATCATTCGATTCATGCTATGGCATTTTTTCGTTTTCTGGCTGGCCGCTAACAAGCCACTTACTGATCCATCCATCCATCCACCATGCACTTCCAGGGCATCCATGTAGGCTGTCTGTCAATCGACAACCGCTCACTGTTCGGTTGGCCTCGGCTGCATGTGCCGCGATCGCCCTATGATCAACCCATCCACACTCACGGAAGCCGAGAATGACCGACCAGCACAAAACACAGCCAAGCACAGCACCTATCTGCCACAATCTCAGTACTCGCAACAGAAAAAGGTGTTAGACCGCAGCTGACTGCGCCGTCCCCATCCACCAGACCAACAGCGCCGCCAGAACAACCACCGCCAGACATAAAAACCAGTAACTGACCTCCAGGCCACCGGACCTGGCGGCCGCTTTCCCACTCTCGACGGCCTTAGTGGCCAGCCCCTCGCCGCTGGCCCCTCTCCCATCATTGGCCTTCTCGTCCGCTGCGTCAGGTGTTGGCATCTGCCCCCCTGCCCACCAGTCTTCCCCATACTCGAGCTGCATCTTAGAGCGGAGGCGCGCCACCGTCTTGCTCAGCTCACGCTGGCTCGCGGCGCTCAAACGTTTCCTGTTGTGCCGCACGCCGACCTGCTGCTGCCGGGTCGCGGCGTCCTGGGGCCGCTGACAGATATGTGGCTCACTCTTGGACGGGGCGGCCGGCTCTGTGGGCGCGCTGCCTCTGCCTTCGATCCACTGGAGGAATCGCTCCGATGATGGCTCCCGCTCAACGATGGAGTCGCTGCTCGATGAGCGGCTTCGTGCCATGGTCGCGACGTCGTCAGCTGAGTAGCTGCGGCGCATCTGGGGGTCGCACGGCACATGACGGCTCCGCGGCAAGATGCAGGGGCTCATGGGGCACCTTGGTTGCTGTGACCCGACCTCGCCGTCCGCTGCCTGTGGCTGTGAGGCAAGCTCGATTTGAGGCTCTGCAGCTGGTTGGGCGACTGGGACGGTCGTAGACGGCCCATGGTCTGGGTTTGTGACGTGCTTGGCCATGCTGACGAAGAACTCAGGCCGGACACGGCGGCGAAGTGAAGAGGGGATACTTGGCGACCGCCTCGGCGATCCCGGAGAACCGATCTCGCTGGACTGCAGCAGCCTCCTCATCCCCCGTCGGGGCCCCTTTGGGGTGCCCACGAATCGCCTCAGCCGCGAGGCCACCGTATCGTTCTCTGAGTCTGACGCATGCCGAGAGCTGACACTCTTGCGCCCAGATGAGCCAGAGGGGGGCGACCGGAAGGACGGCCGACGATCAGGCACATGCAGCGTCGCGGCGAACCTTGGCCGACGTCGCTGTGAGCCGTGTCTGTGTGTGGAGGCGGGGGCGGATGGGGAGGGGCGACCTGAGCTGAGTGACGATGTGCTGTAGGGGACGGACAGGAGGGGCGGGGCGGGGGTGGCGGGTGACGATATGGCCGCCGGCAGATCCTTGCTGACGAGAATGCGGGGCACTTTGATGCACTCGATGGAGTCCAAGTTGGCAGAAAGAGCAGAGGGTAGGGGCTCTTTGTGAGTGTCCTCTGTCGGCAGGGGGCTTGCTGACGACTCTGATGTGGCGGCAGCAGCGGCTTCCTTGACCTTCCACAAGTGGACAGGGCCCGCCCGCTCGCGCTGGAGCCGATCGCCATCCACAGATGTGAACCATGGGTCTTGCAGACACTCAGCAGCCAACGGCCGATCCTCAGGAGACTCCTGACAAGACACACGACAGAAAGCCATCCAGCACTTATCCGTCCAGTTGTGTGCATCGGTATCTCTCACCGCCATCATCCGAGTGACGAGGTCCTTCCCCTCCTCTGACACGTGCTGCCACGCAGCGTCGCTCTGGAGGTCCCACTCGCAACGGAGGTTCCGGAGCAGCACCTGCCGGACGTCCTCCCGCGGCGCCCTGCTGATTTCAGAGCGGCCGAGTGGCGTGGGGTGCTCATTGAAGGGCAGCGACCCCACCAGCAGCGCATACAGCACCACACCTGCCGGGAGAAAGGGCAGAAGAGGCTGTGCTGTGCTGTGGATGCTGATTGATGTGATGCACATGCTATGCTGTTCATTCCTGGTGCTCCTCCCTCTCCTCCCTCTCACCTGCGGAGAAGACGTCGACCTTCTCGTCGTATGGTCTGCCCTGCAGCATCTCCGGCGCCACGTAGCCGGGCGTCCCGCACTGCATCCGGGAGTACCAGCTGCACTCATCCAGGCACGCAGCCACGTCGAACTGACCCAGCTTTAGGCACACGCCCTCGCCGCTCTCTGCACACAGCCCCATACATACGACAAAGTAAACATATGGCAGGGCGTGCTGGTGTGGTGTGACCGACAGACTGACCGCATGGCGTTAGTGCGGTGGGTTTGATGTTGCGGTGGGCGATGCGCTTCTCATGGAGGAAGGCGATGGCCTCGATGAGCCCACGGACGAGACGCCGGCAGTCCGCCTCGCTGTAGGTCGGCAGCTGATCGATGTACCGAAACACGTCCGACGACGCACCATGCTCGTGAATCTGACAGAAAGCAGGGAACCCATGACTACTGTGAGGACATTCAGGGTGACATGGTGGTGTGCTTCTCACCACAGTGATGTGGTCGGCCGTCTCGTAGACAGCGACGAGCCGCAGTATGCGGGGATGCTGCAACGCCCTCCAGGTGGCTATCTCGTAGGGCAGCCACTCAATGCGCTGCGGAGACTCCTCCGCATCAAACTCCTGCAGGCAAACAAAGACCGAACGCACACAACGGACCATGCTGCCTGCGCGCCTGCCAGGTCTCATTCACACCTTGAGCAGAGCCTTCTGGTATCTCTTGGCACCGAACAGCCTGCCTGTCCCAGAGTGCTCCACCAACAGCGTGTCGAACAGGTCGCCTTGCCTGAGCGTCCTCTTGACGGCATAGACGCCATCGAGCCTTGTCAGGATGCAGTGCTGCAAGAGAATAGACGCCCACCGCTGCAGGTCCTCGTCGTCCGGACCAGCCCAATCCAGGCTGCCGCGCTGCACGGTGTCCTTGATGGTGGCCTCGGTCGATTGTCGGGACAGCCATCTGCCTGGCATTCCGTCGCTCTCCGCTATCTCGGCTTGCGGAGCATCCTCCACTCCCCCTTCTGGTGCCGCAAGGCCGCCAGATGAAGCAAATGAGCTCTTTTCAGGCAGCCGCCACTTGGGCGCTACAGACGGGGTCGAGAGGGCCGATATGTCATCGATGAGGGCTGCAGCGAGCCTCAAGTCGTCGCGTGAGTGTGAGATCTGCTGGCCGAACAGCAGCAGCAGCAACTCGCAGTCATCGTCGAGCGCACCTTGCTCGCCGCCAACACGGACGTCAGCAGTTGTTGAGGCTGACGCGACGTGTTTGCGCAGGTGACGACTCCGCTGGAGGCACAGGGCTTGCAGCCTGACAGCAGAGAAACGAACCGACGCTCGGAAGGTGACACCAGGTGCGGGCTTAGTGTGTGCCCTGCTTACCCATGGGCATCCCGCAGTCGGTAGAGTTGGTACTCGGGTAGCGCCAGGCACCCGCCATCAGGTGTGTGAAGAGATCCGGAGGACTGGACCTTGACGCGGACATATCGTGGCTTTTGAAGGACATCGCTCACGACACACACCTCTTCCACACTCTCCAAAGCCATTCCTGACCGGAGATCTCGGGGATGGAGACCGAAGACTCTTCTAAAAGCTCGCATCGACCGGAATGCATGCAGGGCCCTGCAATGGGGCTATGTGGTGGTTGTCAGCGGGACGAGGATCGTGCCCTCGGGGTGTACGCACACAGATGTATTTATGTTGCCCATGAATCAAGATGAGTCAAACGTCATCATATCTTCATCGGCCGAGGCGATCTGTTCTTTGTCTGGTTGTCTGGTTCCCTCTCTAATTGTGACCGCCGGGCTGCTCTGACATGTCTAGCAGATACCTATCACACACACACACACACACAAGAGTCGCTATCAAAACGCATCCGTCCATCCACCCACGTCAATCATTCGCCGACCGTTCGTGTGTGAAGAAGGAGAGCCACCGCTGTGTGTAGGGGTCCAGCCCCACACTCGTGAAGGCATACTCCCTGACACACAGGCGAAGGGAATCGACACTCACACACATACACACGCACACACAGGCAATGAGGAACATCTGTGTCACGTCACGTACCATCTAGCGATGCCCAGGTGCAGCAGTGCCAGCCGGAAGTAGTCGGTGAACGACGCCGCCAGGAAGTGCCAATCGCACGACATATCCTGCACACACCCATGCGCCTTGTGTACGTACGGACCCACCCATGCCACATACCTGGAACCACACTTGTGCGGTGTGTGCGTGTGGCGCCATCATGAGCACCACCCGCCCGTCAGCTGCGTTCGGGTTGAGGTCGAACACGCCCCACCCCTCACGGTGCAGAGCTGCCGTGCTGGCGGGAGAGGGCCGACAGCTGCGGCGACAGAAGCAGACACATGTGGTGTAGACACACGTGCGCAAAGGCTTCCTACCTGCCGCTTTCTTTCGGTCTGGTTTGGCTTTCTCCGTCGTCGTCATCGTCCATAACCATTGGCTCCAGCCTCACCTTCATTGCAAACACCACACACACACAGATACCCTCAACCCAACACAGCACAACACAACACCATGCACTAACCCTCTTCAGTCCCTTGAGCGGCACCACCTCGACGCAGCCGAGGGGCAGGCTGGAGGGCGAGTTGGCGGCCTTTGAGCCGCTTATGCCCGCTGACGCCCTCACACGCCATGAGAGCTTGCACCCGTCCGCGAGGAGGTAGAAGTTGCAGAGGTCGGCTGGCAGCCGGAACGGATGGTTGCTGCCCTCCCATACGGCCACCTCGCCAACTGAAGACGAAGGATGGGATGGTGGTCCAGTTTCTCTCCCCTCTTGCCTGTGACGGGGCTATGCTCTTGGATCTCGACCTTGTCGACGCCTGTGTGCCACAAGAAACAAACAGTGTCAGATACGCAGCGGGCATTCACGTCACGGCCGTGTCTGCTTACTTGGATGGTTCCTGAGGTGCTGCACCACGCGAGCGAAGAGATCTGGGCGTTTATCGTCAGATCTATGACCCAGTCGACTTGAGCAGGCCTGGGAGGAGGCTCCTGCCTCGTTAGCCATCATCCAGGGCGATGAATTCGATCGGCATCTGCGAGCTGTTCTTGTTCAAGCCTCCCCGCCACAGCTTTCTCAGGCGTTGATGGCGTCGCCGCCTTGTTGTTGTGAGCGTCTGCGACCCCTTGCAATCTCTCTTTTCGCTGCAATCTGGACGATGACGACCGGAGCCGCTTCGCTCGGCATCCTGCCCTCCCTCTTTGCCCACGGGAACCACACAGAAGTCGGCATGGCCATCGGGACGACATTTGACGAGCAGATCAGGGCTCGGTTAAAGGAGCTTTCGTCTTTCCATCAGCTGCGGCTGTTCGCAGCCACCTCGGAGGGCGCGCGCATTGTGGATGAGTTCCTGCAGACGCACAAGACAGCCTATCCTCAGTACATCGAGGAGATCCGAGCCACAGCCGAGGGAGCGAGAGTCGCCTTCATGGTACAGGGGCAACACAGCACACAGTGCAGGGTGTTCCATGTGTGTGTGTGTGTGTCTGTTGATGTCAGGATCTGTTCATTCTCAACCTGCGTAACGAGCTATCCGTCTTGATGGCCGCCTCTGGCAATCACGATGCTCACGGCATTCAGCCGCCAGCTGTCATTGAGGACTGCTCTGACTACTTGCTCAAGGAGCAGGGCAAACACGCATGGGTCGCCCACAATGAGGACGGTGACCTCGCCGCCAGGAACCGCGCATTCCTTCTCACAGCCTCCATGTACGGCGACGGTGTCACCCGGGCCAGCAGATTCTCGGCTTTCGTCTACCCAGGAGAGCTGCCGACCGTTGGCTTTGGCTGGAACGACCACGGTGTTGGCTTCACACTCAATGGGCTGTACCCCGACTACACCCAGACAGGCGCCATCGGCAGGAATTTCATCTCTCGCGAACTGCTGGAGGCTGGATCGCTCGACGAGGCCATGGCCATTATCAGCGGCCGACGAATGGCCACCGGGCATGGGTACAACGTCTTCTCTATCGGGCAAGACCGGCCGACCATCATCTCGGTGGAGGTGGCGCCTTCCCTCGACGGCAAGGGGCCCAACCTCTTCCACAGCCACCATGTGGTTGACGGTGCCTTCTTCAGGGCAAACAAGTACGATTACCTGGTGGATGTGCCGCAGATCCCGTCAGCCATCAGGTCGAGCAAAGCAAGGGAGAGGAGGGCTCACGAGCTGCCCAGCCCTACGAGTGCGGGCGACCTGCTGGACGTTCTGGGCGACACAGAAGGGAGCTACCCGATCTACCGGACGGCGAAAGGGCCAGACTCTGGGTACACCCTGTGCACGGCGCTGTTTGATCTGCTGGGACATGTTGTGCGTGTGTTTGTTGAGAATCCGCGGACGGCGAGGCGGGTGCATGTGAAGATGAGCCTTGTGTTTGACCGGGATGAGCTGGCGGTGACTGGCTTGTGAGAGGGTTGGCAGTGCGTGGACATCAGTGAGGGCCTTTGTAGACTGAAGAGCTTTCGGTAGATGAGTCAGTGCACTCCACTTCACTTGACTTCATGACATCCCTCCCTCCCTCCACCCCGTGTGTGAAGTGAAAGCTGTGTGTGCACAGCACAGCAGAGAGTGCGAGAGGAGGTGGCCAGGCCACACACACACGACATGCGACACAACATGCGACACGTCCCATCCCGCCCCTTCCGTGTCGTACATCTCGCCAGAACACGACCGTAGGTGAATGAGTCACACGTCACATAAGCCCCCACGACAAGCATCTGACCATTGCTCACTCACTGTCTCTTCCACCTACTCATCCTTTGTCATGACCACCACTGTCTGCCCCAGCAGTCCGCCAGCCACGAGAGTCCCAGCACTTCGCTCCAACCGAAGAAGTGCCGGCAGAGAGGTGTCCTGGTCTGACCCCACCAAGCGAAAACCAAATCGCTCCCTTGCCGAATCAGACACACATAACAAGCCACTCGTGCGTTTTGTTGTCCTCTGTGATCGAGCAAGCACATACCAGAATGGCGTCGTCTTGGATAATGTGAGTAGATACAGAGTGCCTTTGGTGCCATGCCGCTCCAACAGACGCCTCACGATGGCGCTGCCGATGCCTGACCGAGTGAGTGAGTGAATGACACACACGCAGCAGCATTCACACACGGCTCATGCTGCATGGCCTCATGGCGTACCTTTGCCCCTCTCCGCTTCATCGACCAACAGCGATGCCACCTCGAAAGAGCCCCCGCCGCCATCCAGCGGCCGTACCTGACCAAAGCCAATCAGCCGCCCATCCATCTCGGCACACACAAACCTCTCAGCCTGCAAGAACAAAGGACTGCACAGTACAAACACATTCATTCTATACAGCAGACGTCACGCAGCCTTTGTGCTCTGTCATCCGCTCACTTCATGAGTTGTGAAGCCAACACGAGGCGGATCTTGGACAGATCTGACTCATCGCCTTGCCGAATCAGGACCCTCTCGAGTGTCTTCTTGTCGCCACTGCCAGTGGCAGCTCTGACAACGGCGAGGCGGCGGCTGGCATGATGCTGCACATGGTGAGTAGTGATGTGCGGCTGCGCGGGAAGGAATGCATCCGCCACTGAGAGGCCGAATGCGCAGAAGAGGCCGCAGCAGCGGTTTCAGCTGCGGCTCACGATCTTTGCGAGCTTAGGTATTGTGATGATGGGACTTGCGCGTACAAGTGTTTTTTTCTCTTCTCTGTCCATCACTCGTTCACCCACTCCTTCCTTCATTGATACACTCGTCGCAGATCAGATATGTCGCGACTGGTGCTTTTTTCGGTTGTTGTGTGTGGCATCGCTGTGCTCGGCTTGCTGGTCGTGTGCATGCCGGGCAGACAGGCCAGGCGGGGCGGTGGCAGCAGTCACATGAGGAAGATCACACAGCGCAGGCGGCGGCTGCAAGGTACGAAATACACAAATACAGACCCACAGGCAAGTACACGTACTCATGCATCTGTGTGTGTGTGTGTGTGTGTTGGGTGTGTCAGCCCCAGCATCGCCGATTCCCTCCGGCTGCTTTGGGGATTGCCGTGATTTGAAGTGGTTTAATGACACGGTGTGCGACTTTGAGTGCTACAATTATGAATGCGAATTCGACGGCGGCGACTGCGAACCTGGTGCGTGTGACAAAAGGACACTCGGATGTGGGTGAGATTGTGTGTCTGTGTGATGGTGTGCAGGTCTAGAGTGCACTGGTCTGGCTGCATATTGCAAATGGAACGAGACCTGCCAATCGCAAGACGACGGGTCAGCTCACACATACCCACACATGGATGAATGGACTGCATGGAGGCATGTCCGTGTGTTGTGTATTATCTGTGTGCAGGTTCGGTCGCTGTGAGTCTTTGTGTTCGACGATCGAATGCTCAGAAGAGGAGAACGAAGTCTGCGAGGTAAAGGACCAAACCAACCACACACACAAAGAGATGCGCACATGGATGTCCGTCTGTGTGTGTCGTTGGTCTGTGTGTGTGTGTGTGCAGGTTCAGCGGATCCCCGAGGGCGAGCGGGGCGCCGGCAGCGGGGTGGGCAAGTGCGTGTGTGCAGAGAACTACGTCCGCGGAGACAACGACGAGTGCTTCCAAGGTCGGTACCAACCATCGTCAGCACTGGACCCCGTCCAAGATCCAGCTGACCCACCAGTCCAAGATCCAGCACAGCTCCCCCCCCAAGATCCAGCACAGCTCCCCCCCGTCCAAGATCCAGCTGACCCACCAGTCCAAGATCCAGCTGACCCACCAGCACCTGCAGCACAGCTCGGCGTGGAGACGTGCGAGCCCGACGAGTGCGCGGCACGGACCGTCTTGTTCTCCCTCACCGGCTGTGTATGCATCGAGAGGAGCTGCCAGAAGGAGGGCGCCGACATCCCCGGTCTGGAGCGCTTCTGCACCGTTCTGCAGGAGGACTGCGACAAGGGCCCATGCAAGTGCCTGGGGCCCACCTTTGGGCAGTACTACGATGCGTGCGTCGAGGGGGGCATCGAGCAGGTCTTCACCAATGGTGGATGCCGGTGTACCAACGAGTGCCGGAAGCGGTCGTCAGACGATAAGCCCGCGTGCCGGATCCACTCAAAGGAAGATTGTGCCGACCAGTCGGCAAGTGGCTCGTATAGATTGCCTGAATGCGACAGTCCCGCATGGGCGTACCAGCTGAGGCCGCCCACTTTCTGTACGGGGGTGGCGGAGCGCCTCGGCAGCATGAGGAAGGCACACTGGACGCATCTCGTGTATATGAACGCGGTAAGTGAGACGGACGTCGCCAACAACGCCATGTCAGGGAGACGACGCTCGTTCTTCGTCTGTGTGTGTGTGCGTATGTGTGTGCGCACGCGCCATCAGGACAACAACTTGGAGGGCTACGCCATGAGTGACTTAAAGGAGATGCTGCAGATCCCCAAGAGCGACATCAACCTGCTGGTGCTCGTCGACCGCGCCGACCCTGAGGTGGACGATTCGTCTCATAGAGCGATCCACCAGATGGTCATCTGTCCAGAGGCGACCCCAGAGGTCAATGCCAGAGAGGTATGTATGCACGCACGTCCACCCATCCTCATATGAAAAACGAACATGGATGCCTGTCATCTTTTGCATTTGAATGGCGACGGTTCGTTCAGGTGAGGCAGCAGTTTTCCGGGGCTTACGAGCTCTTGATGATCGGCGACCCGTACGAGAACGAGAACAGCACCAGCCGGCGTCGCTGGCTGCTCAAAAGGGACTGGGGCGAAAGCAACATGGACGACGGCAAAGTGCTGCGGGTGAGCGAGATGACAACCCATCGGCACGTGCCCATTCCTTCCTTCCTTCCTTCCTTGCTTGTGTGTGTGATATGAAGGACTTCATCGCGGATGCGTTGAAGGACTTTCCTGCAGAGCATTACGCGCTCACTTTTTGGGATCATGGCGTCGGTCGGAAAGGGTAAATCACGGTGAACGGCAAGGCGCGTATCGAGAGGCATGTGTGGATGGTGTGCAGTTTCGGCGGCGATTCTAGCCACGGCAACTGGGATTCGCTGATGAACCTCTGGGCTCTAGAAACGAACATCAGAGTAAGCGATACAGACCGTCCGACGCCAGAGACCGTCACTGGACTTGTCTTGTTGTCCCAGAACGGCGTTAAGGACGCGGGCATGCCGGAAGACTTTCGCTTCGACCTGCTTTCATTCGACGCATGCCTGATGGCGTCGTACGAAGTCACAACGGCCCTCGCATCCCACGGACACTTCTTTCTGGGTAACTCCCACGTATATCATTAAACAGACAGTCACACAGCACATCGTCTGACATCACCATCGTTCTCCTCTTCATGTATGAGTGCAGGGAGCGAGACCCTCATCAGCGGCGCTGGCTGGGACTGGACGTCGCTCAGACCCACACAGCCAAACGGCCAGGCGACGCCGCCATTCGAGTACGCCAAGAAGATCGCCATGGCGACGATGGACTACTACGTTCGCAACCAGCGCCTCATGACTCTAGCCATTGTGGATCTCTATAAGATACTGGACTTCCGCGGTTCCTTCTCTCAAAGCCAAAAGACGCTGACCAAACGACTGCACGATTGCGTCGGAACAAAGGAGGTCGACCGCATCCGGACGGCCACCCGGAAGGCTACTGATGACAGTCTGCGAGGACGCCAATTGTCGCTGTTCAGCCGTGAGATAGCGAATCCGGTGGACATGGGCTCACTGCTGCGATTTGTGGAGGCCGAGGTGGAGCGGGTGATTCCGGCTGACGAGCTCGAGATCTTCTCTTTCAAGGTACAAGAAGCACAGTCAGTGTACGATGAACGGATGAACGGATGAATGGAAACAGGATGCGTACAAGAAGTACAATGAGAGCGTCGTCTACTTCAATGGCTCAGACAACTTCGGCAACATCCCCCTGACCGGTAAGAAAGTGTGGACATGGGTGGGCTCATGTAATGAACCACAATATGGTGTGTCATTCATGCTTCTTGTTTGTCAGGTTTGCACGCTGATTTGACTCTGGAAGGGGAGGAGGCCGTTTTTCGCTTGCTCAGGGCAGATGACGAAACAACGAGCGGGTCGTCTGCATCTGATGCCCGCCGGTTGCAGGATGATACCGCGAAATGGGGGGCAGCCATTGTAAGACAGCACATTTCCTCACTGAACAGAGAGCGAGAGCACCTTCTGACCGTTGCTGTGTCGTGTTTCTCGCTGGCGGCGCAGACCGACGACCCGAACTGGCAGAGAACCGGAACACCGAACGACCTGCGGGTCTTCCTCGAGCCCATCTACGACTCCAAGCGCAACGTGTGTCGGGGGAAGAGGGGTTCACCAGGGTCTGAGCCGAAGTTCATGATGCTTAACTGTACGCTCTACCTGATGAGCAGTGCCGAGGAGGAGGCCGACAGCACTACGGCGGCGCCGCGCTACCGTATCGAGGTCTTCAGAAACACTTCCAGCGGAGCTGCCTCATACACGGTCAGTGAGGCAGGCGAAACCGGAAACATAGCCGCGAACATTATTGTGCATCTATCGTCGTTCAGGCCCTGAAGACGATCATGACCAAGCCCAAGACCGAGGATAATGCCAAGTCTCAGCAGGCGTTTGTGGTGGCTGCGGAAGAGTCGCCCAGGACGGATGAGCTGGAAGACTATGTGATCGACCATGTGACGGCCGAGTGGGAGGGCGAGAGCTGGATCCTTCATCAGAACGTCTGGAAGGGCATCCAGAAGGTCATGATCCGGGACGACTGTGATGTTCCCTTGTGGATCCGACAGTGTCCTGCGGCATTTGGCGATGCAGTGCCGCCACGTTCGGGCCCGGCCATTAATGAGGGCAGCGACCGCACATTCAACCGCCAGTGCGTGTGGCTGAGTGCGCTGGCGCCTACTCAGAGCAACGGCGCCACCCTGCGAACCCTGCAGATCCCCGCCCGCCTTTATCGCACCTTCACCGACTTTTTGCGCGACGTGAAGGATGCCCGTCCCGCCACGCTGGTGATCGACTATGATGTCAAGAGTCCCCACAAGAGCCGCCTCTCTCTCTTTGCTGCCAATCGCTTCGGCGTCGAGGCGGAGGTGTCTTCACGGAATTGGGGGCTGATCGAGCCACTGCACACATATGTCAATCTCACGGCGGTCGACGGCTTGGGTCGATACGATATGGCCTCCGACGCGAGCATCCACTTGGACGTGCCATCGTGTGCGGCATTTATGTACGTGGGCGGAGAGAGGCAAGTCCATAGATAGGACGAGTCCCTCATTTGTGTGGGTGCTGTGTGGCAGGTGGGGCTCTGATAGTCAAGTTGAAGAACCTGAGGCAGACATGATCGAGGTATTGCAGTGGCCGCCTGTTGGCAGCGCAACACCAGGACAGGCAGAAGAGGCTGAAGATGGGGCCTCTCCACGAGCACTGCAACATACTAACGACAACAACCATGGTACGAAGTGGTAAGGCGTGAAGGATCTAATTATATGCTTTCACCCCTCTCTCTCTCTCTCTCTGTGTGTGTGTGTGTGTGCATGCGTGCGCGCATGTAGAGCGCGTGTTAGGCATTAAAGCTAAGGAGACTCTGGCGAATCCGAAAGTGATCGGCTCTTTTGTGGCCCTCTCAGAGGCCAACTCAGAGCAGCGGACCAACACGGGGTGCCCGGAGTTCGAGAAGGACCGTGCGGGTTACTGCAAGATGTGTGACGCACTCGTGCTGTTAGGAGAGTGCGCTTCAGAGAATGATAGGCTCAAATGCAGTGGCATTTGTGCAAGCTTCTGCGAGGGCAAACCATGTGCATGAGCGAATGGGTGGGTGGTTGTATCAGGGGGGGGCCAATGAAAGAGTTTGTGGGCAGGCGACACGGTGTGTAGCATTTGTGACTGATTGATTCTTGTGATAGTTCAGTGTACAGTCAATAGTTCAGTGTGCAGTCAGTGTATTTTTCTTGTGGCCCTTGGCCTTTGACGCATCTTGACGAGGCGAGGGATTCATAGGTCAGCCGTAGTCGGTCCGCGTGTGTGTGTGTGTGTGTGTGTATTTATCATGAGTCTCCCGTCAGATCCGTTGATTGCACGCCAGGGTCAGATTGCTGGCCCGTGTCTATCGGGCCTCTCTGCCTATCAAGTTGCCTATCAAGCTACCCCTCCAACTGACTCATCCCAAATCGGACACCACTCCTTTTTCTGGTGCGAGTGTCGAGATTGTGGCAGATAGGTGCTGTGTTTATAGGTGGGCTTTTGCTGGTCGGTCATTCTCGGCTTCCGTGAGTGTGGATGGGTTGATAGGGCGATCGCGGCACATGCAGCCGAGGCCAACCGAACAGTGAGCGGTTGTCGATTGACAGACAGGCTACATGGATGCTCTGCAAGTCAAGTGCATGATGGATGGATGGATGGATCAGTAAGCGCCTCGTTAACGGTCGAACGAATGAATGCCACGAGTAAGAAAGGTCTGGACGTGACATGCGTACACAGACATGACGACCGCAGGTGAATGAGTCACACGTCACATAAGCCCCCACGACAAGCATCTGACCGTTGCTTACTCACTGTCTCTTCCACCTACTCATCCTTTGTCATGACCACCACTGTCTGCCCCAGCAGTCCCCCAGCCACGAGAGTCCCAGCACTTCGCTCCAACCGAAGAAGTGCCGGCAGAGAAGCGTCCTCGTCTGACCCCACCAAGCGAAAACCAAATCGCTCCCTTGCCGAATCAGACACACATAACAAGCCACTCGTGCGTTTTGTTGTCCTCTGTGATCGAGCAAGCACATACCAGAATGGCGTCGTCTTGGATAATGTGAGTAGGTACAGCGTGCCCTTGGCGCCATGCCGCTCCAACAGACGCCTCACGATGGCGCTGCCGATGCCTGACCGAGTGAGTGAGTGAATGACACACACGCAGCAGCATTCACACACGGCTCATGCTGCATGGCCTCATGGCGTACCTTTGCCCCTCTCCGCTTCATCGACAAACAGCGATGCCACCTCGAAAGAGCCCCCGCCGCCATCCAGCGGCCGTACCTGACCAAAGCCAATCAGCCGCCCATCCATCTCGGCACACACAAACCTCTCAGCCTGCAAGAACAAAGGACTGCACAGTACAAACACATTCATTCTATACAGCAGACGTCACGCAGCCTTTGTGCTCTGTCATCCGCTCACTTCATGAGTTGTGAAGCCAACACGAGGCGGATCTTGGACAGATCTGACTCATCGCCTTGCCGAATCAGGACCCTCTCGAGTGTCTTCTTGTCGCCACTGCCAGTGGCAGCTCTGACAACGGCGAGGCGGCGGCTGGCATGATGCTGCACATGGTGTGTGGTGATGTGCGGCTGCGCGGGAAGGAATGCATCCGCCACTGAGAGGCCGAATGCGCAGAAGAGGCCGCTAACCCATCGCATCTGCGGAAAAGGCGTTCTCCTTCCTTAAGGCCACGAGCTTTTGTTGCGGATCGAACTCATCGCTCGAGAGCTATGGACGAAGGAATCATTCAGGTTTGTGTACCAACCACAAGACACCATTTGTCTAATCAGATCCATTCATGCATGCGCTAACGCACGAACGCAGACACTAGTCAGCCCCTACTGCCACCTGGAAAACACCTCCTGTCTCAGGGCAGTCTGCCACTCACTGCTGAGGTGACGGGCTATGAAACGAGGGAAGCGGAGGCCAAGATGAGCCAAAAGGGCCTCCGGCAGCGACACGGCATCATCCATAGTCGTGCGAGGGGCGAAAATGGCACACGGGGAGAGGGCAGAAACATGCGCAGCCAGCCATCGGGGGAACAGGCAGCCAAACACGCGATACAGCTCCACTTTGTCATGGCCTGTCTGCACAGCCACGAAACCACTTGACAGCAACTGGCTCTTCACTGGCTGAGGGCTGGCTCCTAGCTCGTCGACAGACAAACTACGGAAACTGCGCTGAAGGACGATCGAGTCAAGGAGGGGGCACTTGTCGATGGCGTGCAGACACACCGGAAAGACCCCGCCATCCTCTCCCTGATCGCTGCCTTCATCCTCACTCTCGTCAGATTCCTTTCTCTTGTCGCACCTGTACACTGTTCTTCTCGTGTCGTACCACTGCACACTCACGCTAATCTTCTGAACGCGCTTTTCTAAGCCTCGCTGATGCCCATTGCTAGTTGCCCCTGTCCCTCCCTCCCACAGCGACCACACACCCGTAAGCACGCTCACATCACCCGAGTAAAAGTGGGGTTTGATGTGAAGAGGCGGGCCCGTCGGGCTGCACGTGGCCAGGCAGTGGGGAAAGAAGAACGGCACAAAAAGCCGTGCCCTCTGATCAAAGCTCTTATCAAACTGCACCTCTCTGATCGACTTCAAGTCTAGCGCCTTGCCCACTGCCTCCTGTCTCATCCCCACTACCTGGTACAGGTCGAGTGTGGCCACCCGAGGGAAGTGGGCATCAGATATGTGGGATAAGAACACATCAGGGAGGGGGAGAGGCTCAGAGCCAGCCGAAGCCGCGACGTTGCACAGTACTAGCTTCTCAGCCCGCGAAAATACGAGCTGAGGCAGCAAATACGACACAGAGAAGCTTGCAGCCAGAGCAGAGGGGAACTGCACACGTGTGACGAGGGAAGCCAGATGGGTGAGGGTGCCAGCCCAGGAGGGGCAGTCCCCCAGCCGCCGCAACCCGATCAGGACGTCGAAGGAGACACCTGGGCGGCAGTTGAAGGTGATGATTCCGCTTGGCGCCAGCCATGAGGACCGAAGCCGCTCTACAACCTGATACGACGCACATTCCGGTGGCACATCAAGGGTTTAGGCATCGAATGGCTTCCTTTTCCTGACCTCCAACATTTCGGTATCGGTGGCTTCATCGTCTTCGTTGGTGTCAACGCCAAGCTCCTCCAGCTGCAGGGTGACGTTGGCAACACGTGCAAGCTCCTGCCGGGTCGAGTGGACACCCGGACGACACCGCACACCCTTGAGTTGCCTGGAATGACAAGCAGTGCCGTGACTCAGGGATGAATGCGTACGCCGGCATTGTCCTGCCTCCTTTCTTCCCACTTGATGGATGGCTTGACGAGGGAGCGAAGGTCCTCCAGCTGCCACGCCAGCTCCCGCCCATCCTCATCGGGTGCGACCTCGAGCACCACACGATGAGGCCCTGTGCCCGCCAGCCAGCTCTTGCAGCTAGAAGAATGCTGGCCAGAGCACTTCTCTGGCTCGTCCCATGCACCAACGTCATCATTCTGGACAACCATATCGCGAAGATGGACGTCAACCAGCGACCTGACAGGCATGCACACATGGCAGCGTGCCCTTTACTCCGCCCAAGCCCTCCCCCACTTACGTTGGCATCCACCGTCGGTTGTCGGCGACACGGATCCACCAACCGGCCAGCTTGACGCGTGTCAGCACGGGGAAGACGATCTCACCGCGTCCCTCTCGCGGCTTCGGCTCGAGGCGGTGGGCTACTGATTCGCCATCCGACCACGCCTCGAGCTCCTCCAGCGAGATGCTCGCCCGCTCCAGCAGCTCTACCACCCCCGTGGAAGGAGCACACTCCATGAAGGCTCGCTTGGCCTTGCTGAATGCCGCACCCCACACGGCCACCTGCCGCTGGGTCATCTCGATCACCCTGGCAGAGTCGGTGCCCAGGTGCAGCATCTTGTGTGTGGTTGGTTTGCGGGAGATGGTGTGGAGGGATGGGTACGAGGGGGCGAGGTCGGTGAGGGTAGACCGTGTGCCGATCAAAGGGCAGATGTGGTCGCTGAAGCATGACTCGGGCAGCATGATGAGCGGGGAAGCCGACAACGACTGATTGGCACACCCACAGAGCCAAGAGGCAAGTGTGTGTGCGAGAGGTCATCGTGTGAGGGTGTGTGCTGTGCACCGGTCGCTGCAGCGTGGCATAGATGAAGTCGCATTTGGTGTGGGCGAGGCGGATCAGCGATGCCGTCTGGGCGCAGCTATCGGTGTGAGCGATTGTCTTGAGCAGGCTGAGCAGCACTGCACACTGGCCACTGAGATGCTGATGGGAGAAGTGACAAGGCAAGCATCCGAGGAGTGAGTGTGCAGGGCGTCATGCTGCTTCGCCTTTTCTCACATCTGACTCAGACGAGTTATCTCTCGCCGCCCTGAGCTCAAACACCCTCTCTACCTGCGCGCAACACACAGATCCATGCATGGATTCGTGTGTGTGTCGGTTCAGTCACCTCACCCTGCGGTGAAGCTCGGCGACGCGTTGCTGCAGCCCTGCCAGCTGGGAGAATCGTGCCGTGAGATCATCAAGCCCCTGCGACAGAGAGAGCAGCATAGCATGCGTAGGTTCAGCAGGCCTCGGCGTGGCTTACCTGTGACGCTGGGGAGGCTCGGGTCCTCTTGCTCATCACGCTAACGAGGGAAGGCTCTTGAGGACATGGCTCTATGCCATCTCAAGAGGCTGACCCATAACACCTGTACAGGTTTGATTGCATGTGCTTCATCCCTGTAGCGTCACACAAATCTGTAGCGCGCAAATCCGACCGGATCGGCCCCAGGCCGGTAGCTTGTGCGTCGCAGGGCGATAAGAGAGGGACCGCCAGACAAGAACTTGCAGCTGCAGCATCCATTGCGCTCAAAAGTACTTGGCTGCATCTCGCTGATACCGACCGCATAGGTGAGGAGGAAGGAATGCATGAGCAGCGAGCCAAGACACCCACCAGCAGATCTATCTATCCATCCATCCTGCATTCTGTGGCTTCTCTCTTGCCCACAGATCTTTGCGCACCAGCCGCGTGCGTGTTGACGAGGACTCGTTCTCGTTATCTGCGCCAGCATCGCATCTCCAGTAAAGTAAGGCGAACACATCTGGCTGGCCACACGCACAAGGCTGGTTCAACCCATGCATCCACTTCGTCTTGTCTGTCGCCCATCTGCCCACCCACAGATCTCATGGCCTTCTTCGGCGACACGTACGGGGGCTATGACGACGACCAAGGTGACGGAGGAGGAGGCGGCTATGACGCCTACGGAGGCGGCGGATACGACGACAGCGCACAGCAGGGCGGCTACCAGCAGGGGGGAGGGGGAGGGGGCGGCCGCAGCAGTGGGTATGGTGGCGGCGGCGGAGGGGGTGGTGGTGGTGGTGGCGACGGACGTGAGTCGGGGTGGATCCCTGTGACGTGTGCCATGGTGCACCAGGCGGTGGAGCGGTCCCAGGCGACCGACCAGGCGATCGAGATCAACGGGGTGCAGGGCGACCCCATCCTCGAGATCGTGGGCGTGGTGCGGCAGATCAAGCGCGACCAGAACCACATCACATACACCCTCGACGACCACACGGGCGCCCTCGTCCAGGGCAAGCGCTTCGTGTCGTCGGACGGCGAGGAGGCCAAGCAGATCGAGGAGGACACGATGCTGGTACGGTGTGTGGGGACACTCAAGAGCTGGGGCGGTGGCGCGGGCAACACCTACCTGCAGCTGCTGAGCATCCGCCCCGTCCCCAACAACGACATCACCGACGTCGGCTACCACCTCGTCGAGTGCGCCCACGTCCACGTGCAGATGACATGCCCTGACCACGCCATCACTCGGTCCCAGTGGGAGACACACCCAAACAACCCCAACAAGAAACCAGACCCAGCGCCAGCGGCAGCTGCGGCAGCAGCAGCAGGGGGTGGCGGCGGCGGGGGCGGGGGCGGGCGAGGCGGTATGCAGCAGCAGCAGCGTGGTGGCCGCGGCGGACCGTCTCCTCCTGGCCGTGGCCGCGGTGGCATGGGTACGGGCCCTCAGATGAATGGTGCGGGCGGGCGGGGCGGGGTAGCGGGTGGTGGGGCGGCTCGAGGCCTGCCGTATGGGAACCCCCCGGATGTGCAGGCGGCCCTGCTGGACATCCTGGTCCCTGAGGCAGGCCAGGTGCACGTCGACAGCATGGTCCAGCAGCTGGCCAGCCAGTTCAGCGGCATGAACCGTAAGCTAAGCGAGGTTGAACACATACACTACACTACACAACACAACACAACACTGGACACGCTTGAGCACACGTGTGTGGATCCCTCCTTTCTCTCTCTCTGTGTGTGTGTGTGTGTGTGTGTGTGTGTGTCAGGGAGTCGTGTGGTGGGTGTGCTCAAGGCGCTGGAGCGTGACGGCACCGTGTACCAGACGGCAGACGAGGATGTGTGGGAGCGGTCGGGCGACGACCGCCCCACTCACGCCACGGCGGCCAGTGCTGCTGCGGGCAACCCCTACAGCAACCAGCGGGGCGGCGGGGGCGGGGGCGGAATGATGATGCGCGGCAGGGGCGGCATGCAGAGAGGGCGGGGGTATGGGGGGCGATAGATAGACAGATGGGTCGACTCACACACCGACGGGGGTGGATGTGATGTGTAGCATAGCATAGAGAGAGGGATGACGGGGAGGGGCCTGAGTGAGTGAGGTGCTTAGCCAGCCGGGGTGGGGTGTGGTGTGGCGTGAGTGAGTGGTGTTGAAGTGGGTGTATGTCTGGTATGCTATGCTACCTTCCTGCCTGCCTGTCTGTCTGTCTGTACCTGTGTGCGCTGGTTGGTGTTTTGGTTGCCTGGACGGATCGGATCCATGCGTGGCTAGCTCAGCTGCTGGTGGTCCGTGTTGGGTGGGCCACACGGACCGTCAGGATGGACAGACATGTCATCATTTCATTCACGTAGATAGAAACAGACCGACAGAGAGAGGTGTCCGGTGTCCTTAGCGCAACGCACGCACACACACACACACACAGAGAGAGAGAGAGACGAACATCAATCATACCGAGGCAGCGGGGCCGGTTGGTGCATTCCGTGAAGTGGTGCGTGTCCATCCAGCCAGCCACCCATCTCATCTATCTGTCTGTCGGCTGTGTGCAGCTGAGCTCTGCCGTCGAGGGGCTGCTAGGTGTCTGTCTGTCTGTCTGAGTGTAGGGTAGGTAGCAGCACAGCACAGCATCTCTGTGTGTGTCGTCTGTCTGCGCGTGTGTCGTGTCCCGCTGCCCTGTGGCTGTCCGAGTGCCTTGCCGTTCGCCATTCCAACATCTGGTGTCGGTGGCACACACACACACAAGCTCGGCACTCGGGCAGACAGAGGGCAGGGGCACCTGCACAACCAGACGGACGGTTGCTGCTTGCTTGCTACGTGAAACCAATCCATGTGTGTGTGTGTGTGTGTCTCATGACGGACCGTTATATAATATAAAGGCATGAACGCATTCATTCATTGATTCATCGCACGGGCGCATTGCATTCCCAGCCACCCTCCCTCCCCCACGCTCACACACATTCGGGAAGGTAAGGTATGGGCCGGTCCGTCCACACAGACACGCAAAGATGGCTGGATAAACCCAGGCAGCCAGCCAGCCAGGCAGCCCAGCCAGGCAGCCAGCCAGGCAGTCAGGAAGGAACATTGTCAACCAACGAATAAGACCCCGGCCCGAGTCAGTCAGTCAGTGGGTCGGTCGGCAAGCTACACCAGACGCCGTCAAGAGCCAGCAGAGTGAGTGAGCGAGTCGGTCTGTCTGTCTACCGTACGAGTCGAGCCGAGTCGAGTCGACTCGGTGAGAGGGTGTGGTGTGCGTGTCTGTCGCCCTCGATAGGCTGCACAGAGGGCGGACACGCGACTATTCGGGCGGGCTGTCTTGTGTCTGTACCGGTCTGTCTGTCTGCCTGTCGGCCTGCCTGTCGGCGCCATCCGTCCATCGGGGCAAGAGAGAGAGGCAGCAACCCAACCAGCACAGGCTCCGCCCTCTCAGCGACAACACACATGGATGCAGGCAGGCAATCGCCATATCTACCATCGCCACCCGCCCACCCCCCGCCTCCCTCCCTCAATCAACTACGTCTCGTCTCTCTCTGTACAAGGAAGCGGCAATGGCATATAGGGGTAGGGGTGTGTGCGTGTGTGTGTGTGTGAGTATCTGAGTGAACGTGTGTGTGTGTGAGACTGAGCTACTCGTCGTCGGGGCCGTGGCTGGGCTCGTCGTCGCCGTCGTGGCTGGGCTGTTGGTCGTCCTGTTTGGCGGCGGCCTCGGCCTTGTCGGTTTTGGCCTTCTTCTTGGGTGCGGCTGCGCCAGTGCCCTGTGCGGCCTTGCGCTTGGCGGCCTTGTCCTTGGCGATCTGCTTGGCCTTGGCCTTGGCCTCCTGACGCTGCTTCAACTCCTTCGCCTCCTTCTTCGGATTCGCCTGTTTGGTGCAACCATGTCACGCAGAGAGAGAGAGAGAGAGAGAGATGACGGACGGATTGTGGGGGTCTGTCTGTGTGGCCAGTGTGGTGTGGTGGCACTTACAGTGACCGTAACGGCTCCGAAGAAGTTCTCGAGTCGCATCTGGCCCGACTTGCTCTTGGCCTTCTTGAGCCTGCGTCAGGGAATAACACACACAACACACAGAGGGGCGTGTGTGAGCGGCACATGTGTGTGTGCGTGTGGTGTGTGTGTGTGTGGCGGACTCACCGCTGAATGATTTTGTCTACTCGCTCGGCGTTGAAGGTGTGGGTCTCGACGAGCCAGGTCTTGAGCTCCTCGTACTGCGGATCCGCCCACTTGAACTCTCCCAACTCGTCACCCTCAGCTACCTGCACCACACACACACACACACACACACACATGTGACAGTGAATGTGTGTGTGTGGCTGAGCGGCAGGGGCGTGGCGTATGTACTTGGGGATCCTTGAACATGTTTCTTGCCTCCTCGAAGGGGAAGTTGTCTGGCAGGACGAACTTGTCGCCCTTCTCCTTCTTCATGTGCTTGATGATGTTCTCGATGGAGTGGTGCTGCTGCACCAGCTTGTGGGCCGTGACGGGCCCGATGCCCTTGATGGAGTCGCAGTAGTCGCAGCCGCAGAGGATGCAGAAGTCGATGAACTCGTCCATGGTCAGCTTCAGGTCCTCCAACACCGTCGCGAGCGTCAGCACGTGCACCTTGTTGCCACGGTCCTTCTGCTCCGAGAAATTCAGGTGCCGAATCACCGTCGGCGACCTGCACTCGACCAACACAGCACACACAAACACACACATATATGACCCCCTCTCGCTCCCTCCCTCCCCCCCTCCCCCCTCTCTCTCTCTCTCTGTGTGTGTGTGTGTGTGTGTGTGGCCATCCATCTCAAACACCCACCCAGCCCACCGACCCGAATGTGAGTGCGTCAGCGTCGTCCGTGGCGGTGGCGTAGACCTTGCCCTTGGCCGCGAGTTTGGCGCACTGTGCCTCGGCCTCGCACGGCGCGTCCACGATGGGTATGCCCATGAGCTTGAGCAGGTGTTTGACGTCGTCGTTGTGCTGCTTGGTGACCTTGACGGTGCGGCCCGTGAACTTCTTGACCTCCTCCTTGTCGCCCGCCTCCTTGGCGGCCTCGAGGTCCTCCTCGGCCTTGGCACGCTTGTCCGAACGCATCAGCAGCTCGCCGCTCTTCAGGCGGGGGGGCGCGCCGTCAAACACGTACACGGGCTTGATGCCAGCCTCTGACAGATAGACAGACAGACAGACAGAGAGATGCACACCGCAACACACTCATTCAGATGCTTGAGATGCCGTGGCAATCGTGTGCCAGTGTGCGGTGGGTGTTGTGTGTGGTGTTTTCCGTACCGAGGAACTTGACGACTCTGTTGAGCATGCCCATGATGTGGGAGGTGGTCTCTCCGCTCTCGTTGGTGAGGTTGGCGTACGAGAAGTTGGGGTTGTTGCCGCTGCTGCCGTCGCGGATGGCTATCATGAACTGGTACAGCGACATGGACGCGTCGATGGCCAGCTTCTGACCCATCAGAAAATCGTACTTCTCGTGCTCCTTCAGGCTGCGGGGCGCCGCGTCGCTGATGAACTTGATCAGACCCTTGATCCCCATCGCTCAGCAAGCAAGGGAATCCTATGGATGAATGGACGGAGGCGCAAGGCAATACGCGATCTGCTGCGGCGGCCGCAGCGGACTCCAAACGCGCTAACCAAAACACCCGAAACCTCTCTGGAGGGATTAGAGCGCAGAGGTTACACGGCAACTTCGTCGGCAAGGCTCTGTCTGGAGAATGAAGCGGAATAGGGAGGCAGAGGCCCCCTCTCCCTGCCCTCCACACCAACCAAGAAGATCTGCACCAACAAGTGGATCCTGCCGCACTGCCCTGCTGTGCACCCTGGTCGCGTCCTCCCTCCTCCTCGCCCATGGCACCCACCCCCTGGCTGCATCTGCTTTCGTCCCACCCTCACCATCTTTCCTCAGGCGGCCGGCATCTCGCGAAGATCTCTTGTGGACTCGTGTGCATGGCGGCGCCCAGGGCACGGCAACCACAAAGGAGGGCAAGCAGGCGACTATCGACAAGTTCTCTGACCTCCTGGGCGACACCAACCTGCTGTTCGCTCTGGAGGGGAGCAAGCTCGGCCCCAACGAGCGCGTGAAGCTGCGGCGGTCTCTGCCTGAAGGCACCAAGATCCACACGGTCAAGAACCGCCTCCTGCGTGTGGCCGCCAAGGGGACTGACTTCGAGGATTACGCCAACGGCGCGACGGGGCAGAGTCTCTATGTGTTTGTGACACACGAGGACTACAAGGGCGTCATGGAGGCGCTCAAGCAGTTCGGCAAGGGCATGCCCGACTTCCGGGAGCACAACGTCATCAAAGGCGGGTCGTTTGACAGCACCGTGCTGGACGCCGAGGGCGTGGACGCCATCAGCAAGCTGCCCACCAAGCTGGAGCTCATCCAGAAGATCGCTGTGCTCATCAACATGGTCCCAACACGGCTGGCCACGTCGGTCAAGCAGGTGCCCACTAAGCTGGCACGCGCCATCAACCTGGCACTGGTCGACGGCAAGGACGGAGGGGGCGAGGGCGAGGGCACGGCAGCAGAGGAGCCGTCAGCAGCGGCCGACACACCGCCGGCCGATGCTGCTGCTGCTGAGGGCGACAAGGGCGAGAGTGCTAATGCAGGTGCGACAGACAGCTGAGGCCGCCCGAGAGGCCCAAACCCAAGAGTGGGCTGCTGTAGCTACACTGGGGTGGGGGTGTTTGTGTGGTGTGTCATTTCGGTGAGATGACCTACAGTGAGGATTTGAAAGGGTGACTTGATTGATCGATGTATGTATGTGAGTGTGAGTGTGCCGCCTTGTCGTTGTCTCTGATCGAGGGATTGGTGCTTTCCTAGCTTCCTTGTCGTATTGTCCTCGTCGAAGGGTGGAATATGAGGAGCATCACATTCGACCCGCCGGTGACGACAGGCACAATACGGAAGCAGGGATAAAAGCACAGTGGACAGAGAGAGGGTCTGTCTGTGTGGACTGCCGGACACCGTTACTGAATGAATGGTTTGATTGCATATGTGGCAATCAATACACTTTGATGTCCGCACACACACACATCCACTCCACCCACAAATAGTCTGTGCACACACACACACACACACAGAAGCCGCGCACTCTACTGCCGGCCGCTTGAGCTATAATGCGCGCGTGTCCTCCCTGAAGCTACGTCGCCGCGCTACCCAGAGAGACACACACACAGGCAGCCTGCCTCAGTGGTGACACATTGGTGACACACACATATCCCTGTCTGTCTGATGGCTCTAAGCAAGCTCCAATTGAGCTTGCCTGACGTAATGACACAAAGGATCTTTTCTCTTGCGACTGACTGACTGACCAGATCAGAGAGACACACAGTGGCACAACTATGCACACACACTACACTCCACTCCACTCCACTGCCGCAAGACCAGCACCACTCCCCGCACACACAAAGAGTCGTCCCTGTGTTGGGGGGGGGGGGGGGGG